CAGCCTAGACCAGATCAATCCCAGTTGGACCTCGGTTCAGCTAGTTTCTACGATTCAAACCGATTCATTTAGTTGTTGTTCCTATTCAGCTGTCCAGCCAGTTTCTGTCGTCCGGTTCAGCTAGTTTTACATCGGTTCAGACCGGTTCAATCAATTTTTACTCCAGTCCAGCGAGCCTAGCCTATCCGGTTCAATGGTCCAACGAGCCCAGACTATTTGGTTCAATGGTCCAGAGAGCCCAGCTTGTCTGGTTCAGCGGTCCAAAGAGCCCAGCTTGTCTGGTTCAGCGGTCTAGCTAGGTTCTCCAGCCCAGTTTAGTCTTTCAGCAACCTCTTTTTCTCTGGTTCAGCATTGTAACAACCTCTTGTTTGTTATTTGTTGCATTGGTATGGAACCCAAGCAAGATGCTAGCTCCCTTACTCCATATTTGCCACCTACCTTTTCTTCTCCGGCTCTTCTCAATGGTCCTATGACTTCTGTTAAATTTAATGAGACCAATTATTCTTTATGGTCTCGATCCGTTCAGGTCTTTTTTCAAGGCAAAGGATTTAAGAAATTTTTGGTAGATTCTAAACCCAAGGAAGATACTCCTGGGTATGATCAATAGGAACAAGAGGACGCTCAAATTATTTCTTTATTGTTGAATAGCATTGAGCCTAGTATTAGTTCTACTCTGCTCTATCTTGACACTACCAAGGAGATATAGGATCACTTGGCTAATATGTATTCTGGTACGAGGAACTTTACCCATGCTTATTACGTATGCAAACAATACGTTTGCCTGGAACAGGGTACTCTGAATCTCGAAGATTATTATTCTCAAGTTTGGGGAGTTTGTGAGGAGATGAAGCTTTACCATCCATTTACTACTAATGCAGCAATTTGGCAAAAACAACATGAAGATTTGAATGTTGTGCGATTTCTGGTAGGTTTGAAACCTAAATATGAGCCTATTCACTCTCAAATTTTGGGTGACTCCAGTCTTCCTTCTCTACTTGAGGTTTTCTCTTGTTTACAGCGTGCTACATTGTCTGCTACTCTGTCAGGCATTGATCATGATGTCTCTACCGATCGCTCAACACTGTGATTCCTAATAGCCACATTGATGGTAATCGAGGTAGCCATGGTAATCGTGGTGGTCGTAGATCATGGGGGCCGTAGTGGCTCTCGCTCCTGTGCTCACTATGGTCGTGGAGGGCACATTGTTGACTTTTGTTCGGATTTACATGAAAAACCTTTTGGTGTTGCTAATCAAATTTCCTATCAAGATGACACCTCAGTTGTTGCCTCTGTACCTCGACCCGCTCCACCTGACTTTGAATCAGTTACTATTACACGAGAGGAGAATGTTCAGTTCCTGTCCCAGCAACAGGCTAGTCCATCTTCCTCCACAGCCACTTTTTTTCAATCAGGTACTGTCTCCACTTGTTTATTGTCCTCCACCTGCAGTCCCTAGATCATAGACTCTGACGCATCTGACCATATGACAGGTGTGTCTGGTATCTTTTCTACTTATCAGCCTGCTACTTCTACATACAGTGTTACTCTTACTAATAGTACTTACTCTAAAGTTTTGGGTTTGGGGACTACTCATTTGAGTCCTGATATGTTCCTATTCTCTGTGTTATTTGTTCCTCAATTTTCTTTTAGTTTAATTTTCATTAGCAAGATTACTCATTCCCTGAATTATTCTATAACATTTTATTCATCTTATTGTGTGTTTTAGGATCTCAAGACGAAGAGAAAGATTGGTACAAGACATGAAGCTGATGAGCTATATTACTTTGACTTTGATTCACCTATTCGGGCTCTACAGACCTCATCGTCCCCCTTTCAGTGGCATTGTCGTCTTGGTCATCCCTCTCTCCAGAATCTGAAGCTCCAAGTCCCAAATCTTAGTTATGTGTTGTCTATGTCATGTGAAGCTTGTCAGCTTAGTAAGTGTCACCGTGTGTCATTTCAGTCTACAATCAATAATCGTATATCTAGTCCATTTGAATTAGTTCATTCTGATGTATGGGGTCTAATAAAAAATATTTCATCTAATAAATATCCTTATTTTGTGTCATTTGTGGATAATTATTCTTGTGTAACCTGGTGCTTCTTATGAAAGCATCTTCTAAATTGTTCTCTATATATGAGACCTTTCATAAGGAAATAAAAATCTGTTATGGTTGTCGCATTCGTATTTTACGTTCTGATAATACTCAGAAATATGAATCTGAATCTTTTTCAGCTTATCTAAGTAAAAAATGCATTATTCATCAGACTTCAGGTGCTTACACCTCTCCACAGAATGGTGTCGCTAAGCGAAAGAATGTCATTTGTTAAAAGTCACCCGTGCACTGTTGTTCTAGATAAATATTTCTCGTTATTTTTGGAGTGATACTGTTCTTACTGCTTGTCACCTTATTAATCGTATATCTTCTTCTATGTTAAATGGGCAAAGTCCCTATTCTGTTATTTTTCCTGATAAGCCCTTATTTTTCTTACATTCTAAGGTTTTTAGGTGTGTTTGTTATGTTCAAAACTTAAGCCCTGAGTTCGATAAACTTGACCCTCGGACAACATGTGTATTTCTTGGATACTCCTGCACACAGAAGGAGTATCGTTGCTATAGTCCTTCCCTTCGATGATACTTTACTAGTATTGATGTCACGTTTGAGGAATTTGTTCCATATTTTCAGACACCTACTCAACTTTTGGATCTGAACTTTGAGTTGTCTCTTGTACCACCACATCTTCCCTTACTGTCAGATATTCCACTACCTACTATACTACCATCTATTTCACTACTTCGTGTATACTCTCGTCGTTCTCGCCCGTCGACTGAGGTTTCTGTACCGTCTCTCTCGCCATCTCCGGATTCAGGTCCATAAGTTAAATTAGACTCTTTACCTATTGCTCTTCGAAAAGGTACTCATTCGTGTGTTACTAACCATCCTATTGCCCATTTTGTTTCATATAATTCATTGTCTCCTGTCTTCTCTTGTTTTACCTCTCAAGTATCTAATATCTCTACACCTAAGCACTTACAAGATGCATTGTCTAATCTGGATTAGAGGAAAGCTATGTAGGAGGAGATGGATGTCTTACATCATAATGGAACTTGGGACTTTGCTCCTTTACCCCCTGGTAAACGAACTGTTGGTTGTCGTTGGGTGTATATTGTTAAATTTCATCAAGATGGTTTTGTGGAGCATCTCAAAGCCCGCCTTGTTGCAAAAGACTTCACTCAAACCTATGGTGTTGATTATGAGGAGACTTTTTCTCATGTTATCAAAATCTCTTCTGTTCGTATCTTGATTTTTCTGGCTGCTAATCTTGATTGACCCTTATTTCAGTTAGATGTCAAGAATGTCTTCTTACATGATGACTTGATTGAATATGTATACATGGAGCACCCACCTGAGTTTACTGCTCAGGGAGATTATAGTACGAGTGTATGTCGGTTAAAGAAATCTCTGTATAATTTGAAACAGTCACCGAGGGCATGGTTTGGTAAGTTTTCAAATGCAGTTTTAGAGTTTGGTCTCCTTCGCTGTTAGACAGACCACTCTGTGTTTCATAGACAGACAGATGTCGGGTATGTTCTTTTGGTGGTTTATGTAAATGATATTGTGATTACTGAAAATGACTCTGAGGGAATTGCAAAGTTAAAAGCCTTTCTGCAAGACAGATTTTATACTAAAGATTTGAAAAAACTGAAGTATTTATTGGGTATTGAGATGGCTCGATCTAAACAGAGTATTTATTTATCTCAAAAGAAATATGTACTTGACATGTTAGAGGAAACAAGTTTACTGGTTGGCAGACCAGTTGATGTTCCTATGGACATGAATCAAAAATTGTTGATGGATGACGGTGTAGTGTTTGAGAATCCGAGTCGTTATTGCAAGTTGGTTGAAAAACTCAATTATCTCACTATTACTCGACTGGATATTTCTTATGTAGTTAGTGTGATAAGTTAGTTTATAGGAAATCCTAGAGTATAATATTGAGAGACAGTTACTCGTATTCTGCGATATCTTAAACGTGCTCCCAATCTTGGGCTGTTGTATCGAACTAATAGACACCTTAGGGTAGAAGGTTTCTTAGATGCTGATTGAGCTGGCTCTCTATCTGATCGAAGATCAACCACTAGTTATTGTACTTTCTTATGAGATAACATTGTCATATGGAACAGCAAGAAAGAACCCGTGGTTGCGAAATCCAGTACTGAGGCTGAGTATAGAGCAATGATACATACAATGAGTAAGTTGACATGCATGGCTACTACACTTTCTCCAGGAAATTGGATTTTCAGTTCAACTTCTTTTATAGTTGTTCTGTGACAACCAGACGACAACCCATATCATTGTCAATCCAGTGTTTCACAAGAGAACTAAACATATTGAGGTTGATTGTTATTTTATTCGAGACAAGATAGTAAAAGGAGAGATTACGACTCCATTTATGAGATTTGAAGATCAGCTTACAGATATGTTTACTAAAACATTGAGTCGTACACGTTTTATTGTAATTTGTTCCAAGCTTGAATTATATGGCATATATGGTCCAACTTGAGGGAAAATGTTAAGAGTATTGGAGTATTGTGTGTAAATATTAGGAGGTATATATGTCTTTTGTATTATTACAAGTTAACTATAATACAAAGTATTTTATGAGAGATAGGTCAAGTTTTGACCACTCTCCGTTTCTCTCTAATATTGTGTTAATCATCTCCACTTAACAAACTCCTTGTTTGATGTAATACATGATTAATTTACTTTCGCATGTCAGGTTATTTACCAACACTTAAGTTCATATTAGTCTCAATACTTTGATTTTGTATTAATTTGAGAAAATCACAATATATCCAAAAGTCTTTTTTATAATATTACATAACTTAGCATTTTAACACTCAACAAATATATATATTTAAATATACACTTCCATTAGTCTAACAAATTTGAATATCTCACAAAAAATATATTTTAACTAGTGTCCTCACTAGTTCTAGAACTAAAGGCAAAATGTGCTTCCACTTGGGTTGCCAGGTGCCAACTTCCGTAACCGTACAACGAGTAACCATTTTTTTTCCCTTCTGATAGGTATTGCTTATAAGCCAAATTTTATCCACTCTTACCATTAGAAAATCTTGACCATAATTACACTAAACATCTTGAACTCTATACTCAAGGCAAACTGCCATTTTATTAGGTGGTGAATTGAAGCTTGCAAGGGACAAAAGAATGGTTGCTGACTAATTAGAGTTACAGAAATATTGTTTTACCTATTAATTGTTGGTCTTGTTGGAGGTTTCGCTTCAAAGACAGAAAAATCTAATGACATTGGTATATGCTCACTCCTCCCGCGAGCTGCCTGTTTGATTTCATTTCCATGATCATCAGTTTTATGTACTTGGTGTGCATTTCCTTCAAAACTCTCACGAATGGGCATCACTCTTCTTGACTTTCTTGGAGGAGACAACACTGTAGGACCCTCCTGTGGATTGAAATCTGAAACCTTAGAATTAAGTGACTCCCTCTTTGGAGGAGGTCTTGGAAGCAAAGCTGGTTCCGTAGGTGGTGGTACTGATGAAAAATACCTAAAAGGACAAAAACAATGAGATCCACTAACTGTAACCTTCCAAATTTAAATCTCAAAGCAAACATACCTGTGTTCTAATGCCTGCTGTGCGGAAATTCTAGCTTTGGGGTCATACATGAACATCTTTGATAATAGATCCAAGGCATCATCACTGGCCATTGGAAACAGTGTCCGAAGAGGCTGTCCAGGAACATACTGGTATTCAACATAATCAGGGAGGTAGACCATATCAGCCCACTGAGATGGTTTGGGAGTCCCAAAAGCTGCAAAGATCTTTCCCAGTTGATCAATATCACTGTTACCCTAACAAAATTCATTATGAGTCAATAAAGAGTATAGTCAAGACTACAAGAAAATAAACAAACAAGGAAAAAACTATTGGAGCAGACATAATCAATCAACGCAAGGACTCTTGAAGTGAGTAATGAGACAACAAAATTTCGAGGTAACAATAACACTAGACATTAGTCAGCAATACATTGAGCAAAAAACGAGATATACTTATGACAAACATTTGCCACTGAATTAAATATATATAATAAGCAGTCTAGAACCAGGGAAAACAAGAGAGCATAAAGTATCATAATTAAATGCTAGAAAAAAACTTGTTCAGCACAAGTTAATAAACATTAAAAGGAAAGAAAGCAATATGTACAAAGATAAACAGGAAACAAATAAATGATGACACATGGAGCACAATGAAATCTAAACAACATGATTAGAACATAATTACCACCGGTCCTACCAGGCTATCACAGTGGGTTTCAAACAATATGAAGTTGAATGAAAGAGCACACAATAATTTGTTGCTTCACCACATTTATGCAGTGTTTCAAATAATGAAAATGTTAGCACACAGCAACCTAGGCTCCTAAAGACCTTTAGGCCAGCCACAAATCACGGTGAAGCTGTCTGGTGAACATACATAACATAACCAATTTTCTCAATGCGTCAAACACAACCTGTGCACCTCTTTGACTACTTCACAAGCACGAGAGATTTTGTAAAACTATAACATTATTTTGGGAGATTTTGTTTCCCAACTAAAAGGATTTTCTCTCACCTCTATCTTCTTCCATCCCACTCTTTCTCTCACCCCTCCTCTCTTCCTCAAATTTAGGTATACTCTCTCTCCTCTATCTTCCATCCCCTCTTTCTCTCTCCTCTCTTCCTCAAATTTCTCTCTTATTTTTTGTCCCACTCTATCTCTCTCCTCTCTTTTAGATTTCTCTCTCTTTCATCTCTCCTCCATCCCACACTCTCATCTCTCTGCCTTAAAATTCCTCTTTTTCCTTTGTCTTCCTTAAATTCCTCTCTTTTTTTCTCTCCTCTCCATATCTCTATTATCTTTCCTCTCTCTTCTGTAAATTCATTTCTTTCTCCTCACTCTTTTGTCCCTCTCTTCGTTCTTCTTTAAATTTCTCTCTTTTCTTTATCTATATATATATAACGTATCTTCACCTTTTTCAAATCTTATTACTTTTTTTTAGAACGACATAATTGACAAATTTAATGGAGTTAATGAGATTTCTTCTTAATTTGGAAACAAAATTAAAGGAAAATTTTAGTTGTAATTGAGAATAAATTGTGTTTAATTAATGGAGTTGATAAGATTGAGTTTCAATATTACCAACCAAATTGCACAGTGAAATATGCACAAAGTAGTGAAATTGGGTGTATTTCACTGGTCGAATATGTGACAGTGAAATAGGAATTTTATAGCAATTGGCCAATCAAATTGGCGTATGAGTAGAAAAATTTATTGTCTAACTTCAACTGTCCAAACATTGACCATGGAATTGGCATATGAGTGTGAAAGTTCGCCATCCACTTTTAGTGTGACATTGAAATTAACCATATTTCACTATTTGAACTGTAACAGTGAAATAAAAATTTCATTGCAATTAGACAGTAAAATTGGCATATGAGTTTGTGTTACGTTATGTTTTATTTTATAGAATAAGGGTATTTTAGTCTTTGAGTCCATATGTATATATAAACAAGGTGTAGTTGTGTAACCTAATACATTACTCTATTTTGATCTTTTTCTCCTATTCTTCTCTGTCTCTTCAGTCAAATCCTAACGACTTTACAACTTAACTTGGTATCACAGCTGTGATCCAAATCAAACGTCCCAAGGTTGTCGGAACTCATGCAACTCATTGGAACTTGTTGGAACTCAACCCATCAATCAACAGTGATGGTTGACTTTTTCTGACATGCTGACATCAACGACTAATGTCAGTAAATTTTAAAAAAATATGCATCTGATTTGACCCTTTCCTTTGAGATTTATGGTAATTTTTCTGAAATTTTTTGAAGTCGTTTAATTAGGCTTTCCATTTTTTTGAATGTTTTTCAGTTTTTTGGCCATCAGAGGTGTGATATGCGATTTTCAGCAAATTAGAAGGTTTTTTTCACATCAATCTGACTCTATAGGGTGCGACTGGTGGCTGTTAGAGTGGATTTGAGGGGTTCCTTGGCCATTGTTGATCCTCGACAGTGGTGTTCTCTCACTGTTTTTGGTCTGATTTTTTTTCGACTACTTCCATACACCAGAGTTAGTTCTAATAGTGCACAAATATTTTTTTGTTGTTGGAGGTTTTTATGAAGATCTTGGTATTTTTTATTTTATTTTTTTGTGATCTTGTGGGCTATGATCTCTGGTTTTTGACTCTTAGTTGTGATTTTGTGGTTAATAATTGAACATGACAGAACCTAGTGTGACCTCTACCTTTACTAATATGGGAAAAAGTAATGGAGGGAATGGGTCAAGTCATTTGGGGGCTCTTGCTAACAACCCCTCTCTCCAAATCAGTCTAGAAAAACTAGATGGAAGTAATTATCTAGCATAATCACGAGCTTGCTTGTTATTAGTTCAAGCTATATCTTTGGATGGATATTTGGCTGAAAGCTAAGAAGCACAGTGAACCTAGTTCCCCCTTGAAGTAGTGAACTTTGGATAATGCCTTTGTTATGTTCTGGTTGCTTAATTCAATGCAACCCTCTATCAATCGTCGTTTTCTATTGCTTGATACAACCAAGGATCAAAATTTCGTTTCGGTGCATTATTTCGGTCACCTAGGAAACAAAAGTATTTCGACATGTTTCGAAAACGTTTCGATTTGTTTCAAAAACAAAATTAAAAAAAAATAAAAATTATTTTTTCAAAACATTGGTCAAAATATGTGCAAATGAATTGAAATATAACAAAACATTTCAAAATATTATAGAACACCTCGAAGTATTAAAATTTCGATTTCATCACTGATTCGTTTCGGTCTATTTAAAAATAGAAAAGTTTCAGATGTTTCGACCGTTTTGAAGCGATATTTTGACCCTTGGATACAGCCAATAAAATTTGGACTGTTGTGGTTCACAATTATTCCCAAACAGGTAACGATGCTAAAGCGTATGACCTCCGTAAGAAAGTTCGAAATACCAATCAAAAGGAAAAGACACTTGCAGTGTACTATGTGTAGAGTTGACTACTCTATGGCAAAAGCTTGATTATTATCAGGGTTTTAGGTGGAGTGTACTAATGATGCAATAAAATTTCAATAAATGGTGGAAAAAGAATGGGTGTATGATTTTCTTATTAGTCTTAACATGGAGTACGATCAGATTCGGGTTCAAATTTGGGTTGTAGTCCATTCCCTACTTTACAAAAGACCTATGCACATCTTCAGTAGGAGGAGAGTCGTAAGATTGCCATGGTTATGCTCCCTCTCAGGAACAATCTGCATTGACTGCATCCCTCAGCGTGACTTCGGCTTAGCCTTGCCTAAGTCCACGGAGACAGGTAGCACTATTCCTAAGGATATCTTAAAGTGTGACTATTGTGAAAAGACCAAACATACTAGGGAGTTTTGTTGGAAACTAACTAGATGCCCTTTACGTGGCCAAGGTGGTGGCTGTGGAGTGGCCGAGGTGGTAATGTGCGATCACATGCACATATGACTTACTTTTCAAAGACTCCATCTCAATCTGCTCATTCTCATTTCTCTCAAGATGAGATGCAAACTCTCAAGTGTTTGATAGCTCGGATTGATGTTTCCTCTACCTCAGCTCTTAATCATACTTTTTCTTCTAACTTTGCTCATACAAGTATATCTGTTAATGTGTTTATTGCGTTATCCTCATACACTCATTGGATAATAGATTCTGGAGCCACTAATCATATGACAAGTTCTTCTAGTCTGTTTTCTTCCTATTCTACATATTCAGGTAGGGAAAAAGTCAAAGTGACAGATGAATCTTTATCTTCTATTTCGAGGAAAAGTTCAATCGATTGCTCGTCCACCTGGATACTTTCCTCTGTTCTCCATGTTCCAAATTTCTCTACGAATTTGTTGTCTATTAGTAGTATTACAAAATCTTTGAATTGTTCAGAAACCTTTTTTCCTACTCATTGCATATTTTAGAAACTAAAATAAAAAAAAACGATTAGCAGTGGTAGAGCATATGGTAGTCTACATCTTTTGGATGTTGAAGCTTCTTCTCACCAAGTAGATAATGGACCAACTTTGCAGTTCTTAAATTAGTGGCATAGGCGTATAGGGCATTCTTCCTTTGGTGTCTTAGACCATCTTTTTTTAGTTTAGTGAAGTAATGTAATAGACAATTTTTTGTTTGTGATACTTGTGAATTTGTCAAGTATAAACGTTCATCTTATCTAAGTATTAATAATAAAAGCACTACTCCTTTTGTCATTATTCATTTTGATGTGTGAGGCCCTTCTTGTGTTGTGTCTATCTCTGGCTATCGCTTGTTTATCACTTTTATTGATTATTATTCTCGTCTCACTTGGGTTTACCTACTACGAACTAAATATGAAGTTTCCTCATGCTTTAGATCTTTTTCACAAAATAATGAGTACCCAATTTGATGCAAAAATAAAAATTCTTCGAAGTGACAATGGAACTGAATATATTGATGGAGAATTTTGTTCTTACCTCAATGAGAATGGCATTTTCTACCAAACCACTCGTGTGAAGACACCCCTAAACAAAACAATGTTGCAAAGCGAAAGGCCAGCCATCTCCTTGAGGTTGCATATTCATTATTGTTCATTATGAATGTCCCTCAGTCCTTTTTGGGGGAGGCAGTACTAACCGCAACTTATTAATCGTCTACCCTCGAGTCTTAATCGTGACAATGCTAATCTGAAGACTTATTCTCGACGTAAAAAAATACAGATTAGCCAAGTGCCATCACAACAGTTGGATTCTTCAACTCCGGTTCCATCCTCCACTGATTTATCAAGTAATGAATCTCAAAATGTTACTCCTACTGTGAATACCAATTGTTGATGACTCTGAACTTCCTATTGTAATCAGAAAGGGTGTTCGAACTTATACTCAACATCCCGTCTCTAACTTTATCTCTTATGATTCCTTGTCTCCATTCTATCGTGCTTTTATTTCCTTCTTGTCTTCTGTGTCTATTCTTCTTGGTTAAAAAGAGACTCACTAATCGTAAATGAAGAGAAGCGATGATAGAGTAAATGAAGCCCTGAAAAAGAATGACACACAGGAATTGGTTCCTCTTCCACCTAGAGCAAGGGCAGTTGGGTGCAAATGAATATTTATTGTCAAACAACAAACTGATGGGACAATCAAGAGGTACAAAACTAGGCTGGCTGCTAAGGAATTTAATCAAACATATGGTATTAATTACCAAAAGACCTTTGCTCCTGTGCCAAAGATGAACTTCATACGTGCTCTTATCTCTTATGCAACAAATTTGGGGTGGAGTTTGCAATAATTGGATATAAAAAATGTCTTTCTTTATGGAGATTTGGAGGAGGAAGTGTACATGGAGATTCCTCCAGGTTTCTCATCTCCGATGACTAGAAGAAAGGTGTGTGGGCTGAAGAAATCTCTTTATGAGTTGAATCAATCTCCTAAAGCGTGGTTTGATAGATTTCTCAAAGCTATACTGAAATTTGGATATAAATAAAGTCAAGTAGATCAAACCTTGTTCATTAGACGAGTTGATGGCAAATATTACAGTTGTTATTGTATATGTGGATGATATAGTAATAACTAAAAATGATGAGCATAAAATCATCAAATTGAAAGCTCAATTGGCCAAAGAATTTGAAATTAAAGACTTAGGTCCATTAAGCTATCTTCTTGGAATTGA